TATTGTTTAAACAGAATCTGAATATGATTGTGAGAATCCCAACCAACCAATTTTTTCAAAAACGATTGAAGTATTGAAACGTTTCTTTATTACCTAAACTGATTTACTTTTGATTAATGATTTGTACTCAATACTTAGTCAATACTGTCACGTATTTAATACCAATGAACAATTCAAAATTAGAACAAATAAATAGTTTGATAATTTCAAAATCTTAGATGGTTCCGGTTCTTTTGATTTGAACAATTTAAATGAATCACATGTAATTTTTCTTTTCATCAAATATAACTAAATTAAAAACGTGTTTTATTGTTATATATATTAGGTTTTCGTTTAATAAAATCGCATTCAGAAAATTTTAGTAATAATCATAATATTGTCAATTAAGTTATAAAAATAATATTTATGAATCTTTTGGAATTAATTAAATAAACGTTAAAAATTTATCGTTTGAAGAAAAAATGAATGATTTTATTATAGTAAAATTAAATTCATTAATTTCATTTTGTTTATTTTTGAATAAATATTATTTAATTATAAAAAAAAAATTATAACACAATATGCCTTTGCGCATATAAAATGATGCTAGTGGCATGAAAGCATAAAAAATTGCTTACAAAAAGCAAACCAGCACAATATTTTCTGTACCTTGTTGAAAAAACTACAATAGAATTTGATCAAACCAATGGTTTGTAATGTAACACTTTTATCTTCAACAAATGAAAATACTGCTTTTTAATGGCATGAATTTAACGTTAGCTTTCTGCATTTATAAAAATTTGAAAAAGCTTGCAGTTTCGGAAGTACAAGGTGCCAAAACTTCCAATTTTACAAAATTAAAGAGACGATTGCTTGAGAAGGCGGTGGAAATGGAAAAAAATTTTCTTCTAACGAAATGAACTATTTATTAGTGTCTAAAAGTTAAACTTTCAGACTTTTACAACATTGGGGCTAGAAGATAAACGACATCAGAAATTTGTGCAAAAGACGAATTTTAGATAACGGTAAATTTTAACGGCTCATTTTTTGGGATTTTTCAGATCTTTAGCACTCTTCACTACGACCCGATTCAGACTAGATCACGCGTTAGCAAATAGATTTTTACCACGGGTCAAATTTGCATTTTTCTTCGTGTGCAATGAAATAGTCTCGGAAACAGAACTTTCATTAAGAGCCGATTTTACATATTGACCATATCTCAAGAATTAATCAAGGAAACTTCTTAAACGATGTTCTGGTTAAATTGCCTGAGAAACTGTGTAGAAAAATCGGTTCACGGATAAGGAACCTCTTTTAAGAACCAAATTTACATTTTTCGAAGTATATTAAGCCTACCCTCTATCTTTCATAGAATTTGAAATAAATATTTAAAGAAAACTTTCATAATCTTATGCAACACTTTGAGAATTTGGTCGGTTATGTGTTCCATCAAATTTAATTTTATGTGTATCACAAAATTCAATTCATAATTTATTTATAATTTGATTGCAATTAATGACAATCTTAATTAAGAGATTGTTTTTTAATTACATTATTTTGTATTGAACAGAAAACACAATTGATAACGGTTTCATTTAGTAGCCTATTGTATGTATAAAAATACTTTACTAAATTTGTCTTTTAGAATTACTCACTAACTAATAATAAAATTCTTAAATTTTTAATCCTGTTTTTTAAATTTCAACAATCATGAGCTCAATTATTATTAAAAATCATGAAAAATTAAACAATCTTATAAACTCAATCAATTTTTATTTAACTAAATTAATTATAATGTGCTGTAGTGTAAAAAAATAACAAAAAAAAAAAAAATCATAAATGTCTTAAATGTATTGGTTTCTTTTTTACGGTATAATTTGTATTAAATGAAAAATCTTGAAGCACGTGTAGAGATTATTATGGATTGATGGTAACAAACTATTCAAAGTAATTTTGGAAAAACTCAAAACATGTTTAAATGAAAATAAAAGCATTTATTAGTTCAAGTTATTTGAATTGAATGCTAACATGGTGAATTGAAAAATTCTATACTTACGATCGGAACATTACATCAGAATTGAGGAAATAAAATCTTATGGTTAAATTAAAATTTGAAAAGTATTCAAGATAAAGCAAGTTAAATAAATATTGAGCTACTGTCTTAATTGTGGTACTTTCTATAGACCTGGGAATTGAGAGTATCAGAAATTCTAAAAAACACACATTGCTTCCATTAAAATTTAATACGAATTTTTAATATTTTGTTGACAAAATTCAAAATTTAATTTAAATGAGTGCGATATTTGAAATGAAACACTAAAAAACAAATTGTTCTTAATTTTTGTTGTGTCAAGATTTGTATGTAATTTTTTTAAAAGGTACATTTTGTAATACAACATGGTTAACATGCTGGACAATCGTGATGAATTCTTACTATATTGAGCAACATTCAATGCAATTATAATATTCGCTGAAATTTTTAGGTTAAATAAAATCCATAGCCACACACATCATAAAAACAAGATTTTATAAATGCTTTATTTTGCTTGAATTCAAGAGAACAAGTACATTCTGAAATTAGTTACTTCAATTGCATTTTCTAAGTTATAAAAACTACACTGTTTAAAAGCTTGAAGCTCCTTAAAATGAATTTATACTTTACTTGTAGTTTCAATAAGTGCCAATATATATTTAATAACTATTTCATTCCACACACTTAATCCAACAAAATTTCCAGAAAAATTAAATAACCACACAACAGTGATGCTTATTTGTTTTAAATTATGGAAGTGTCGAAAATTAATATTTTGGTGTCAGTACTCCCACATGTATGCAAATTTTTTTATTATTAAAAAAATATTGAATTTCTTACTTTGGTCATTTCAAATTCGTTAGCATTAGCTACCATTCTTTGTTTCATTTATAAATCGTTTGAATAGGCTTGGTTGCGTGAAAATCTTTATCAGGTTTTCATATAAATTTTGATTTCAATATTGCAGAAATTCTAAAAAAAAAATTATAGCGAACATTTGATTCTGTACGTAGTTGTACAACTGTTCGTGTATTAGTGTATTTGAATACGAACAAATATTGTACAATATTGCGTATTTTTTGAAAATATTCTAAAAGATCATTTTAAAAACTACACCTATAGATTAAATTAAATGTGAAGGCCATCTTTATAAAAGAAAGTATTTTTTTTTTTTTAAATTATCGTCTGTATCTAAAATATCATAGTATTTCAAATTAAAACAAATAATAAAATCGAATAACCATACTTATTTAAAGCGTGTCAAATAATGAAAATTAACTGAAGCAAATAATGAACGTTAACTGTTATATGAATATTCCATTGATAGCATATGATTTAAAAAAAAAAAAAAGATTTATTTTTTAAGGTGATTTCACACTGCATTTCACTCACAATCTATATTGCTTTGTATATAGAATTTATGTTGATTTTATAAATGACTTTGAAAGACAGTCTAAGAGCGAAGTATTTGACTTTGGTTCTAAAATCAAAACACATTAATTGACAAAGTAAATTAAATCGGAATAATACTGAAAATTGAATATTTCATTAATTTCCAATTTTTCCGTATTATCAATTTCAGAAGTTTATACATCACAATTTAAAAATAAAGCTCCTGAAACACAATATTGAAGTCAAACACTGTAAAAAGCAACCTCAAAACAAAAATATAGTTAGGGCAAAAAAAATTTGTGTTGTAATTTGAGAACAATTTCTTAATGGGGTTTTAAGCTAAAAACCAGTCTTAAAAATTAAATTGTATATTACTTTCTCAAACTAAAAATCACTGTGACAAAATTTCATAAAAAATATGGTTTCCGGAGATCTTGTAAAACAACATTAAAAATGTATACCAAAATTTGATAAAAAGAAAGCATCGATTACATACTTATTAACTTACATACACAATGACTCGTCGAAAAAATGTTCTGACATGAGGCCACACGGCTTTAGAAACGCACCTTAATCTCAAATTTAATAGTGTAAATCAAACTTTATAATTTTTAAAATTCGATTTCTATGTATTTAATCGAAATATGTTAGAAAATAAAAAGTATTAACAATATAATTAATTAATTAGTAATAAATCTATCATTTTAATATTGACAAAATATAATAGAACAACTTTGAAAAATTAAATAGACTCAAAAAATTTTTAAGCTTATATTCAAAAATTCAATAATATTTTCAATTTAATAAAATCAAAAACTAATAAGTTTGAAAAGTCAATTATAAGATATTTGGATTTTATTGACATCTATGGGAGTCAAAATTAATGGTAAGAGGCCGTACAAATAAATCAATTATTTCGAATTTCGTAGTTGATTTTACTTAATGAGCACGTGAATTACCTCCGAATTTGTGAAAAGATTTCATAATGAACACATAAATGTCAACTAATCAATTAATTTTCATATTTTACACTAATTCATATTTAGGCTTAAAAAATGCGTGAAATTCGTATTGTAATTCCTTGCACACCAACAAGTTAACCGAAATACCAAAAAAAAAAAACTATCAAAATGGTAAATTATTAAAATTCTTCCTCCTTACAGAAATATTGACAATATCTCTGATTAAACAAAAGAAATCATATTATAAGTTTTTCTATTTAAGCATTATGTGCGGAGATAGAAATCAAGAAGTGCATGCATATATCAGTTTTACATATGTACACTTAAAGAGCTTTCATTATTATCTTCAATTTGATCACAATTTATTTGTGAAATAATTTGGTAAATTACATTTTGTTCAATATTTTGCTAATATTTGCATAAATTTTGAGGTTATAATAATCATAACTAAAATTGATCTTGTTTTTCCGGCTTTTTCTCTTTTCTTTACCGTATTCTGAAAAAAAATGTAAAGTACTTTATGTTCAAATGTCCAGAGTATATAAAATGATTAAAATTAGAATTTTTTATATCACTTCTTCTTAGAAGATCAACAGAGTTAAAACAACAAATTTATTGGATATTCTGCAACAAAAATGAAGGTATACAAATCACATAGCATTGACAAGGATTACAAATTTTTTGGATTACAACTTGAAAACTATTCTTTCTTTTTTTGTTATTGATCCTAGGTACTTGCATGTTTTTTGGCTTATTTAGCTGTTGCAAACGCTGTTCTTCCAGCCAATGATTTAACAGCTCATAAGCATCAAGGACTTGGTGGTCGACCAGCTTTAATTAATGTAAGACAAGGTATACCAGGTCAACATATACATGTATCACAAGCTGCACCTCCAGCTGCTTTAGTTCGTGTTCACCAAGCTCCAATTATACCACCACAAGTACAAGTTTCTCAACCACCAGTTCCCCCACCAATTGTACGTGTACATCAAGCTCAGCCATTACCACCAGTTGTACATGTACAACAAGTGCATGCTCCAGCTCCTCATGTTCATGTTCATCAAGGTGCTGCACCAGCACCAGTAGTTCGTGTACATCAGGCAGCGGCACCAGCACCATTAGTTCGCGTTCAACAACAACGGCAACCATCTCCAATTGTCCAAGTACATCAAGCAGCCGCACCAGCACCGTTGGTTCGTGTTCATTCGCCAGCTGCACCACCACCATTAGTTAGAGTACACCAACATGCTGCTCCAGCACCAGTAGTACATGTACAACAACATCAAGCTCCAGCGCCCGTAGTTCGTGTTGTTCAACATCCTCAACCAGCTCCAATAGTTCGTGTACATCAAAACCCAGTACCTGCACCAACTGTACACGTACACCAAGATCCAATTCCACCACCTATAATCCGAGTTCAACAAGCTTTAGTACCCCAACCGGTAGTAAACGTACAACAATTACAACTTCCACAACCTGTTATATCAGTACAGCAAGATCCTGTTCCTAGACCTGTTATAAGAGTTCAACAATCGCTTGCTCCTAGACCAGTTGTTCACGTAGCACAAGCACCAGCTCCAGCCCCTATAGTTCGTGTTTCACAAGCAGCAGCTCCTCAACCCCTTATACATGTACAACAAGCTCCAGCACCACAACCAATTGTTAGAGTATCCCAAGCACCTGCACCTGCCCCACAAATACATGTTACTCAAGGTCATGCTGCAGCCCCAATCGTTCGAGTAAGTCAATCACATGCCCCAGCTCCAATTGTAAGAATATCTCAGGCTCCTCTTCCCGAACCAATAATTTCTATAAATCATGGAAGAAGAAGACGTCAACATTAAAATTTTTGAATATCATGGATTGAGACACGGTTGAGTGATTCCTCTTTAAAACCAAAACACTAGATTATCGCGAGATTTTAGATAATTATAATGTGATTTCTAAATTCAATGTGCTCTAGAAAAACAAAAATGAAAAATAAATTAGAATTAATGATAAAAGATTTTTATCTGAATTTTTACAGCAACTAGGATTAAAGGATTTTGACAGCTTCTGACTTTCAAATGGACATTGCCTCGGAAGAATAAAACTGCTTAAACAAGCCATGGACCTCAATAAATATAATTCTGAAAAAGGAAGAAAAAATTTGGAATACTTTCTTCTTAAAATTATTAATCATCAGATAATTAATTTTGTTCAATTCTAAAAATTTAAGTATGCTCCAATTCTTAGCAAAACCAAACATATCCGTCTGCAAAATAGTTAAATCGAAACTGTAAACGGTGAAATGGCCTCTGGTTCTACAATATATATTTTTCTTATTCATTCCGGACTAGACCAATTCACTTAATTTTAATCTTGATATTTTTCCTAATATATTTCAAAATATACAATAAAACCTTCGGGAGAGTAAATCATAAGTCAATCAATCAAATTAAAATATTAAAAGTTCAAAAAAACTTCATCTGAATATCAATGCTATAATTTTTTAAGACCTACCATAAATTCATCGTTTGTCATTATCGTTCATCAATCACTATATAACAAATATTTGTTTAAATTTATTTAAATTTTTTTAAACGTATACTCTGATAAAATCTCTAATAAAATATGGCAATGATAAAGTGTAAAATATAGCAAATTACAAAAATTAATAAAAGCCTATAATATGTAGTTTTTAACGTGTGCTTGCATTTAATTAAAAGTGAAGAAAATTTTTCTCATTTCAGATGAATTCATAAAATGTTAGTGAGGTTATTAGATTGTCTAAAAATGTTAATTTAGCATATTAAAACCAAAACGAAAAAAAAACTATAAAGTTTTATCTCGACTAAATTTAATTCAGTCTTTAGAAAACCATTGAACATGCTATATTAAAAGCGCATTCATATACATAAGCTATTCAACTTGCATTAGGACTCACATTAAAAATTTTTGTCTTTTATAAGAAATATTAATTGATATACGATAAAAATCATTTAAAATAATAGAAAAATTTACGATATGGTGCCGGGAAAACATAAAATTAAAATTAACTGTCTTAAATATGCTCTTCCTGAACCTAAAACAATAGTTAAATTTGTGATGTGTGACAACAACAGGACAGCAATGCAACAAAACAAAGTTAACAAAAAAAAAGTCTAATGGTTAGGAAAAGCACTTTCGAAAGGAATTTACTATCGAAAAGGAATTTCGCAAAAATATTACCATTTGTGGATTTTATAAAATAATTTTTTCGAATAATAATTTTCATATGAAATTTTTTCCTTTGAGATAAAAAAGTAATTTAGTTGCTAAATCAAAATAATTTTTACAATTTTTACAAAATTATACAAATTTCAAATATAATTAAAATATAAACCTACAAATCTTCAAATGCTCTGATAAAATCGCTAATAAGAAATATTAGCGTTTGTATATTGACGTAACATAATGATATCGTAAATATTTGACATAATGTCAGTTAACAGCGTCAATCACATAAATGGACCATTTTACAACATAATGTATAACTAATTTTTTTTACATAGGTGCATGTATTATAAAGATTAATTAGGGCAATGCTAAGGTTGAACATTAAAAACATTTATTGTAAGCATTTAAAGTCTTTAATTTCTTTTCTTATATTCACATCTCAAAATTTCGTTAAAAACTTTTACGTTTGTAAACAAAATTTCGAAATTAATTGAAATTTAATGATTTGAAATATTCACATAATTCACACCAAGTTTAACAAGCATAACTTTAATATCGAAAACAAAACATTAAAAAATTTTTAGTCATCAAAGTCCAAACTAATTAATCTTAGTTTAATGAATATTTCTTAACATATACAAAGGTAGTCTGTTTATATATATATATATATATATATATAAATATATTCGATTAAACCTATGGTATGCAAAGAAGCACATTTTCCTTTAACCATGTAAGTTTGCTCTAAAGCTATCATTTACAGACATCTAGGTAGAGGTAATCAAAACGATCTATTAAAAAATTCTCTTATTTCCTGCAGCTATCAGCAAAGTGCGGTCCATGGACAGCACCCGGCCCGTTAAACTTCAAATTGCAACCCATCATTCTGCTTGCAAGAAAAAAATATATTCGATTGCGACTACTAAAATTTTTCAAAAAAATTTTAAGAGCTCAATCATAGATACTAGATATAAAATGGACATATAATTGAATACAAATTTATTACTTGTCAAAACAAAACAATCAATGTCAATTGAAAATGTCATTTCTTCGTGTAAGTTGCAATGTAAGAAAAACGAGCGGCCCACACCCATATAGTGCATATGTTATATGCCCACAACCCACAAATATTTGCCGCCCGTTGGGTTATAGCATAAGGGTTCTTATGCTTTTCGACAAAAATACTCCTCCTCGAAACTGCTACATTTTTCATTTTATAGAAAAGTTCGGTCAAATAATTAGGTGTAAAAGCGCGATATGGACGGGAGTAATAATGTTTTTCTACTAAAATAAATTATTTTTCGGTACCTATAAACTGCTTAAATTTAAGACTGCTATATAAAAGAAAACTTCCTCCGAAAATGATCGAAAAACCAGTGTAATAGAATGATAGAAGGAATAATTTTCTAACTATTTTTCTCTTACAGAATACAAAATACAATTACTTTTATATTTACAATTTTTGAGATAAATGATTACAACTGAAATGAAAGGGCTAATCATAACAATTTGTTCTAGAGAAATAATAACTTTCCTAAAATCCATTTGTGTACAAAATTTCGTGGTCGGTTTAAACGTGTCGGTTTCCCATGAATATGGCAATAAACAGGGTAAAATTAATTGGCATATTTTTTTTAAAAATTTGATGGAAATGCGCCAAAACAGTTATGATAAATATATCAGTAACAATAAATTTTCGCAAAACAATATTCTTTGCAATTAATAAATAAAAAAAATTTTTTTGCCGATCTTATTTACGAAATAAACTACTAATTTTTTACGAATTTGTTTACGAAGAAACAACTAATTTTTTTTCTTGAACTTCTTTTGTTTTTTCATTTTATTTTATTGCATAAAATATGTGTCAATACAATAAATATTTTAATACCATTATTAGTTCTGTCACCATTTTTGTTAAATTGTTTGTTATCGATTATAATTTAAGACCTCTCTATAAATGACAGTATGGTAAATATTAAATATATTTAGTAAAAATTTTTTTTGACAAAATTGTTTTATTAAAACTATTTAGTTAGATTGATATTTGGAACCGATTCGAGCAACATTAGACTTGACACAATATAGATTTGATTTAAAATAGCAAAACATTCCTAATAATAAATTTAATAAAGCGAATCATATAATAATTCCATTTTAACATTTTTTTACTATTTACAATAAAATAAAATTTGAAACTAGATTGTACAATGACTTCCATATAATTATACTTTTTTATTTTATTTATACTTATAATTTATTAAAAAATTCATGTGGCGAATAATAAAATGTAATAGTGTCAACTGCTACTACTCATAAAATTTTAAAAAATCAATCAACAGGATATCTTGTAAGAAAAGAATTTTCTAATATTTGATATTTCAACATCAAATAATTCTAATTAATTTCGGCGTACCAACATGAAGATTATTCACTCTCTATTCTTTTCAGATTGTCCCGATATTTTGAAATAAAAATTATGATAATATTTATCCGGTCTACTTCTCTCGACTCATGGTCTACCTCTCAACTGCTTATATAAATTATTTCTATGAAATCGAACTCATATTAATCCCTTTATATGCAAAGATTCCGGAAAACTAAATTAAAACCAAAACAAAAATTCGTATAGTTTTATCATAATTGCAAATTAATTTTTTTCTAATTTTTAATAATTAAAAATCGGAAATACTATTAAATTATCGAATTTCCGATTATAACAAGCTTTTAATATATAAAAGAATAACATTATTATGATAATTAAAAATAAAAATGTATAACACGTTTAAAAAAAAATTATTCGCAAAAGAATTTGCATGCAAAATAACAAAACAAACAACAAAAAATAACAACAATATCTCCACTTTACTTTTTCTGTAATTTCAATAAATTCGATAGAAAAATATCAATATATAAATAACATAACTCTTGGCAATACTAGGATACTTGTAATTTATTTACTCAATTCGATTTCTTATACTTCAATTAGGAAGCCAGTACTAAACCAAAAAATACTGCTAAATAATTTTAATGTCGGTGCTATTACGGTATAGATGGAGATGAGAGATCAGGTGGTCTCGACCGGTGGGGAGCGGCAATTTCTTTCTTTGGGCCGGAGTCATGCTTTGTGGTGCCAAGGGCAACGGCCAAATAAGTTTATTACATGTAAACACTGATTTGTACTTTAATTTTTGCCTCAAACCTTTTAAAGGTTCCTAAAAATTGTATTCGGAAACTCATTCGTACGATAATAAAAATAATCTCCAGTATAACCGATTAACAAATAAAGTAAATTCAAATTTTTTGATTACATCTCCATATTCACAAGTTTCAATTGTGTCTTAATCCATCATTGTTACCTTGTACTTAACGTTCTCGTTTGAGTGATGTTAATCCGATTCGATTGGAATCAATGACATTATTTATAATTTAAATTTAAAAAAAAAAATATTGGAAATTTAGCAAAATCATTTTAGTAAAATGAAAAATTTATCAATTCTAAATGGAATACAAAATCATAATACATTTATGAATTGCTAACAAAAAATCCAAATTTTGTTTTTTTTTCTACTTTTTTTAAGATCCAAAATGTTTAATAGAGAGCGACATAAAAAAAATGGTTCAGTTCAAAAATCTCATTTCGCTTATAGCGAATAAAGGTAATATTTTTTAATCCAAACTATCTAATGTTATTAAACATGTTTTTTAATCTCATCCCACTCAACAAATAATCATTATTATCTAATTTCTTTAATGGATGGTCTACCAATTACATAAGAAAGACACATATACACAGTAGAGTAGTGTTAAGGCTGATGTTGTTTTTTTGGTGCAATTAAATTTTACCTTTGCATAATTTGGCACTGTTGTTTTTTGATATGGGCACTGATCTGTTTTGATTTTTTTTTTATTTTCACTATTATGAAGACGAGGCGAAACCTTATAATTTAAGAAAAAAAAAATAATAAAAAAAATAAATTTAAGTTTTTGATTTTTTAAATTAATAAAAATGAAAAATTTACCTTATAAGAAGCAAAAAATTGCATTTCATTATCGAATATAAAATTGGCAATATTTAGAAGAGGAAAAAGTAGTAAAATTTTTAATAAAAATTGACTTAGTATAAAAACGATTCAAAGATATCAAAAATTTATCAGTTAACTAACTACATTAAACCGTTGAACAACTTGATAGCAGTTACAACCGCAATTAAGTTTCAATATAACAAATAATGAAGGTAAAATAAAAGTAAAATTAATTTTGACATTGAATTGACATTTTTTATAATTTTAGGTTTTCATTTGTTTGGTTGCAATAATTGCTTGTACTAAGGCTGGCTTCTTAGGAAGTAGTGGGGGAGGAGCTGGTGGCGGAGGATTCGGTGGCGGTGGATATGGTGGAGGTGGTCACAGTGGAGGAGGAGGAGGACATGTCCAAACTATTCGTGTAATTCAAGCTGGAGGACATGGTGGAGGTGGCCATGGAGGTGGTTTTGGCGGCGGATTTGGTGGCGGCCATGGTGGGGGTGGCTTTGATGGAGGTCATGGTGGTGCCGTCGAAACCATCCGTGTCATACAAGAACATGGTGGTGGCGGACATGGAGGTTTCGGTGGAGGTGGTGGTTTTGGAGGTGGTCATGGCGGTGGTTTTGGTGGTGGCCATGGTGGTGGTTTTGGCGGAGGTCATGGCGGTGCCGTTGAAACAATCCGCGTCATACAAGAACATGGTGATGGCGGCCATGGTGGCGGCTTTGGTGGTGGTCATGGCGGTGGACATGGCGGTGGATTTGCTGGTAGTTACGGCGGTGACGGCGGTCATGGTGGAGCTATTGAAACGATACGCGTTATTAAAGAGCATGGTGGTGGTGGAGGTTTCGGAGGAGGTCATGGTGGATTTAGTGGAGGTCATGGCGGTAGTTATGGTGGTCATGGAGGCGGTCACGAAAAAATTATTAAAGTAATTGCTGCTGCAGCTGGTGGTGCTGACGGGGGTTATGAGGGTAATGGTGGCGGTGGATGGGGAAAATAAAAAAAATTTCTCTTTACATCACTAATCATAAACATCTTCATGTTAGTATATTTATTAGATTACATTATTTATTAGTTAGTTAATTGAAAAAAAAAGCCAAATAAAAGAGAAAGTCTTTGTATTTTTTTTCTAAAAAAAAAAATAAGAAAAATCGAAAATTAGTGGTTTGCATTTATGAAATTCCCAAAAAAAAAAACCTTTTTTTATTTTAGTTACCTATATTTTTTCGCATATTTGTTAATTAATCAAAAATCTATCGAACGTTAAATTAAACCATATAATTAGTGTAAAAAAAAGGGGCTTAAATTTTATCCATCTTCAAGCACCTCAAAATATTAATATAATTTTTTCATGTCGTTACAGCCAACATAATTATTAGTTTATATTTCCATTTGAAATTTATTTTAAAGCAATCATTGTGCGAAATAGTATGTGTAGAATGGAAACACTTGTTGTACGTAAAATTGTTAAACCTTTGTACATGTTGATCCAGCAAATTTCGTAGTTGAATAAAACCGTAAAGAAATTCCAAAGCAAAATTAACGAATATTATTGGGGCAGCTGATTTTCATAAAGTACTAAAAAATACCAAATGTCAATTGTAGTTTTTTGAATAAAAACTTACATATACATACCTTATGTGTTTACAAAAATAATACCCAGTGTTGGGCAAATTCATAACTCGTCCTAAAAAGCAGTTTTAGAAAATATTTAACCTGATAACAGAACTGAACAAGTCTCTCAAATTCAAGTGAACACTACAACATGTTCTAAAACAAAAATTATTTGCTTTGATTTTTTCCACAATTTCTAGAATAAATCTCGATCCCGTCTTTCAAAATTTATCTACTAACGTTCTCATTATCTCTTGTAAGTATCCAATAATATTGTAATAGTCTTCTAAAAAATTCATTCTCCCTCTTTATTTCATTCTGATTTCATTTAAAATTTGATAAAAAAATTTAAGCCTGTACGCTCTTCCGCTAATTTTCTCCAAAATTCAATTTTATTAGAGTAAAATTATGTTTTATAGTAAAGTGTATAAATTAAGTAAGAGTAACAAAATACCAGAAAAAAACCAATTTATAACCGAAAAAAAACAACAAAATAAAATGCCTTAAACCTTTTTAAGTATTAACCAAAAAACACCAAAAATTTGGTAGTTCCGAAATAAAAATGAAATAACAACTAACAAATTGTTTATATACCTGAAAATTTTTGTGGTGCAAATTGTATGAATTCCATTTCATTAGACCCTCTCTTTTCTGCCATAATAAAGAAATAAACGTTACATAATTTAAAAACCAAATTTAAAATAACAAGATAATACAAGCTACAAAACGCGTTTATATGAAAAGATAACAGAAAGAAGTAAGAGAAAAGCAAAAGTAATAAAATTAGCAAAGAAATTTTAAAAGAAAATAGAAAAGATTTTAAATTTTTAGTATGGATTATTCGGGATATCCGATTTTTAATTAAATTTTGAATTTAGTACTGAAAATTGTGTGGTGTCAGTCCAGATGTTAGCCCTACTGCATATCCAGAACTTTTCAGAAGAAAAATTTCATGCGTTTTTTTCAGAATTAAATGCTGTTATTTTGCAACTTCCTGCATGATCCATGTACATCTTCTCTCCCTTTCTTCATTTCCACTTTAAACATATTTATTTTGATATTAAAACATTAATTTGTTGCCAAAAAAATCTAAAACTCTTTTCGTTTACGTTCGTTTAATTTTATGCATAAACCTTCTTTCGTTTAATTTTTAAGTTGATTATTTTTCTCTATACTATATTCGCCCATATACGTTTGCCATCATACCCAGTGTTCCCAATATTAAGGGATTTTTCCCGTATTATGGTAATTTGAGCCAATTTTAATTAGAAATAGGGAATAGGAATAAAAATATATGGTAATTTTTATAAATCACAATAATTTGACCGTTCACAGCACTAACTGATCAGATATCGAATTTTTACAATGAAATAAACTACAAAACAAAATTCGTAACGACTTCACACAGTACATTTTATTATCAAATGTTTATCGAATTTTTATACCGTACAATAACATTTTGTATGGAAATAATCTTTATTTTACTACGTCAAAAGATAGCCGTAATTTTACTACGTCAAAAGATAACCGTTAAACTTATGATTTGTCACATGCCATATTATTTTCACTGTCGAATTTTATCATTTGTTTTGACGTTTCGTAAATTTGAAAATATTTCAGGAATTTTTAAATGGTTCGGTGCAAAAATATAGATGAACATTTCATTTCGCGGAAAAATCACAAGTCTAAATATTAAAACACTTGATCATACACTATTGTGTGTAGTGCAAGTGTTCTCTCATAATTTAAAAGAAATTTAATTACAATCTGAAAATCCGTATTAATTGTAATATTTGACAATTTAGTTTAAAATTCAAATTTTTAACTTTAAACTTATAATTTAATTAAAATCATTTCATTTACTATAGTAAAATTTAATGGAACATATGATATATGCACAGATTGAAGGTTTTTCACACTTTTTTAATACTCTTTTTAAATAACTTAATGGTGATTTAACTTGTATAATAAAAATGTGATGAATTTGAAGAAAAAAAAATGTAAAATTAATTTTCTACTTTTGTTATTTCCATATTATGATCACATGGTATTTCTTTTACACCTTTGTATTCCATTTAATTTTATGCAAATGTTTGAATCCTTGTACAATGGTTTATTTTGGGAATTTTTGTGGTATTATAAGAGTAACAATAATTAAATCAGAAAAACTTAAACTATATAAATTATAAAACTGTACTTTGTTATATTGCAATAGTAATCCTGAGAATTGTAAAGGCAAAGTGATTTTCAAAAACGATCATAAGATGCGATGAAACTTTGGAAAATAATAATTTTGGTTTGTATTTCAAAATTATTAAGATCTACGATTTCAGTTAAGAACATGGCCAACTATAAAGAGCTACGTACGAAAATTCTGTAAAATTAATATGTCCGATTATTGTAAGTAATGTCAAAATTCTATGATTATTTCCTCTTTTAAATGCTCTGCTTTTCTTAGAACCTGCAACTTTAAGAAAATTTTTTAGTGTTACAGTTCAAGCATACAATTTCTTATGCAAATCACAGCTGCCATTTAAATAAAATTTCTTAAAGTCAGTAAGACCGAATTTTATTCATTTCCATTTTTAATTTTGTTTTGTTCTCTTGCACATTTTAGTGATTGAATCATTTCTAATGAAAGCAAAAATTTTTGTCAACACTTGCTAAATAAAAATTAAAAGAAAAATTATACAACTTTAATGTTTTGTTACTTTTGCATTTCTTTTTGTTTTTTTATTTTAGTCACATTTGATAATAAGTTACCAATTGCTGTGATAATTACAGAGAAAACTTCATATTTGCTTTTAAACTATTGTTCATATAAAACATAATAAAAGTGCGTATTTAAAAAGACCGTTAAAGAGATCTAATAAAACATGTAACCAAATTTTTGTCAGGTGAGAAATTTTCATTCCTTCATTGTGGGTAAATTTTTTTTTTTTTTTTTTTGAACACCCGTAATGTAGATGTCACATATATAAGAAAAAAATATTTAAATAAATTTCATCAGTACAGAATAGTAAGTTGTACAGTTAGTAACTAGATTTAATTTCTATTTTTATCGGAAATCTTCATAAAATGAAAGTGAGTTTTAATTTCATATATATGGATTTGAAGTTTGGAATTTCTGTCACATAAAACACTACGATATTTATAATTTTAATTATCTTAAAATAATTTCAGATCCTTTTAACAATATTAATTTTTGGATATTGCTTTATGGAATCGAATGGTGTTCTATTAGCCCTAAAAGCAAAATTATTAGGATATAAACTTGGTAAAGCTGCTGGTATTGCAGCTGGTTTAAAAAAAGGTGCTATAATCGGTGGAATCGGTGGTTATAGTTTAGGTCAACAAGGTGGATATGGATCTGGTAAAGTTATACGATTATATACAAATCCAATATACAGTTATGATCCAAGACCTATTCCTGCATATGGACATGGTGGAATAGGTGGATTTGGTTATGGTGGTGGTGGAGGAGGAGGATATGGTTATGGTGGACATATTGGACCAGTTGTTAAAGTTCTTCATAAACATTTACCAGAACCACCAAAAATTGTTAATGTTTTTCATCATAACCATCACCACCATGGTCATTACGGTGGTGGTGGTTTTGGTGCTGATGATATTGCTACCAATAGTATTGGTGATATTAGTTTTGGTGGCAGTGGTGGTGGCGGTAGTGTTAAAATTCTTAAAATACTTCATGAAGATACTCCATTAGGAGGTGATCATCATCACCATCATGATAATATCGGTTTTCCAGCAGAAAAACAAATTAATGTTGTTAAAGTTATACAAGAAGAAGATCACGGTGCTGAAAGTGCTGATCATAGTTGGTCTTAAAATTAACTATTTTTAATTTTAAAAAACTGAATTGTTTATTTGTCGTTTTTTTTTGTTTTAATATTTAAGTAGATTTCTAAGCTAGTCCATTCATTTTATTCATTAATGCATTTAATTTATAAAAAAAAAACACAAGCAATGAATATGCCAAATTCGATTGAATTAAGAATCAATTCGAAAAACAAAATAATAATTAAATTAATTTTTAAGCAAAATATAGAAAATCTAATAATGTTATGAAAAAATCCAACAAATTAGGCTTCTATTTTTGGAATCTACGATACGAAATTTCGTTGTCATTAATAAACTACGCATAGGCATTTTGTAAAGCATTTTATGTTCGTAAGTAGTTTTGTTTTAAAAAATTCAAAGTACAAAAAAAAATTGCATAGATTCAGGCTGATATGTTTTACTATAAAATGTTTGCATATCGTAAGGTTACTTGAATTAAATTTAATAATAAAACCGTTATTGAAAAAATAAATGAGTTTTTATATTCCTAAATTTTTGTAATAAATTGACGGCTCAAATATTAAAGAGAGATAGAAATATTAAAGAAATTTAGAAAATTAAATTACCAATTGAAATGGGAAGAAATAATTAAGTATAGCAATAATTATTTATTATATTTAAACATATAATTTTTTATTACAATTTAAATTTAATGCATAATTTTAGTTCAGTTAAATGAAAATGAAAAGTAATTTCAATTTGATTAGATTTTATTAAAACTTCATTATAACATACAAGAACCATCCTTGTTTGTTTCATATACAACACCTGCAATTGTAGTATACCACATTGGATTTCAAATTGTTTTGCGTTTTAAAAGCCTCCTATACAGCGAAAAACTATTTTAAAAAATTCTAATGAAAACACAGCAGATGAATGGAGGGTTTTTCTCCCAAATTTAGCAAACTTCTTTTTCACATTATGGGAAATCATCAATATTTCCAAGATATATTTTTGAGAATGCCAGCATTTTTTCTTAAACTTATAATCATAATTTTTCAATGTATTGGCTTTTAGAAATTGAGTTAGTTTAAAATAAATATTACCGCTCCCCAGCCAATCTAAAAGGGAATCAATGAAAACCAACAAAACACTATCTACAATCTACAAATCTATAACAGAGCACTATTGAAATAAAAGTAAAATTGATACTTGAGTTTCGAAGGAAATTAAGAATATGACAAATGAAACTGCTGGATTTTTAATGTTATACAATATGATTTTATAAAACTTCCAACATAAATTAAATTCCCAAATACATATTATAACTATTAACAATGCATAATTTTATTATTTCATTAAAATTATTAAAAATATATGAAAAACATAATTTAATATTTTAAAAATCTTAGAAATTAATCATATAATATATAACTTAATTATTACATAATAATTAAATAACAAAATTAATTTATATTCATTTTTTTTATTACCATTCAATTTATATAAAAACTAAATTTTCATTCCAAATAAATTTGTCACTTTATCATTTCGGGCACAGCATATATGTATGGGATAGTGTTCAACATACAAAATACAAATACACAGCCATAAGTAAAGCAAGCATTTAAAAACTAACTGTCCAACAGTGAACCTATATAATTTGTTTAAAATAAATTTTTTCCATATACTACGTCTCTTTCTTAATTTTAGAGTTTACATTAATGATTAATTTGATTTTCTTATATCACTAATGATTATGTTAATTAATTTCCTATAATATTTATAACAAAATTTCAAAAAAAAAAAAATTTTAGCACTTTTTTGTTTTCATCTTTTCTCCCATTTCACTTTTATTTGTGTATTTAGTATATATGTACATATTTATGTATGTGTTTTAATTCAGGAGATAAAACAAATTAAATGACTTTAAATTTTAAAGTATTTTATAACACAAAAGTAAACACACATATTTTTATTGCTTTCATTTGTCATCAAAATTTATTCGTGCGCTGGTACTCGTATTTACAGTTCTTAATATTATTACAGTTCTTAATCGCCAACTTGTCAAACTCTCTTGAGCTGATGAATTCGCTATAGTTTAGTACTAAGTATGGCGCATAGATTTATTGTAAAATCTTTTTTTGCAATGGCAGCATTGTAGAATATTTAAAGCATATTAAAGTGAACTATCACAATAAAATATTTTGCATTTTTGGAAAATTTGCGATAAATTTTTGCAAATTTCTTGGCGAATTTCCCATACATGGCATAATAAGCCTATAAATTGCACGTCCTGAACTCCAAATTTACTGAACATTTCTTAGTTTGTCTTCATCATTAGATCTCTTCATATACTTTTTTGAAATTTGAGAAAACGCTTTTCTGACAGAATTCTCACAAAATGGAATAAGTAACAAGTATAAAATTCTCTCTTCTCTCACTTCCTTTTAAGTTTCTTTTTAATAAAAGAACGATTTTCGTTTCGTAACAAGTATAAGGAAGCTTAAACATTAAATAGAAGCTATAATATTTTGGAGTTTTTTCGTTTTTGAAAAAAATACGCAATATTGTCATTTCTTTTTTTTGCCTTGTTTTCGCTTTAAACCAATTAAAACTGATTTATGTAAAAATGATCGTAAAACTATTTTAACTGTCTCAAAATTTACCGAGAAAAAAATGTTATTACTGTTATAAATGAAACAAAAAAAAATTGTATAACTTTCGTGTGAGCTTGTATTTATTCATATATAAACACTCATATAGAACTACATCACAGCATCTTCGTTCAACGTAAGCTCAAATAAGGTAACATTAAAATTATGGATAAAATTATGGACAAAAAATTTTGACATTGAAAATAAACTGAATAAGGGAATTTCTAACACTTAAACTTTTTTCTTTACTATTATGTAGGAAACAAAAATATAACGAATATACATACATACATACAAATACATATACACTATTGTACTGTCATTAAATATACATTTACAAAAAATTGTTATGATTCAAAAGTACATACATGCGTACTCTTTGTTATTTATTTTACACATAAAATGAAAAGGGCTATTATGTAATTATAAGAGCCCTTTTGAATTTAATTTAAAATTTTAGGAAATCGTGAACTGATATTATTTTATTTTATTTTTTCATTTTTTACATATACGCGTTACATTAGTGTTATTACATAATAATTACACATATACTTATAACAAGCAATAAGAAAATTGCTTCCAGCCTTATAATAGTAAAATAGTAAATTACATAGAAAGAATAATTAAGCTAATAAAAAATGCGTTATATTAGAGGTTTCAGGATTCTATACGCTTATTAATAAGTAAGTTATAATAAAATTATATAAAATGAATACCATATACATGCTTACCTCTGGGTATTAGCAATGAATTGAAATGAAGGTAGCCTCGGCTAGCAGCAATGATCCTTTATTCTTTGGTAATTTTCTTAAGACTGGCTTAATTAATATATAATTAATGTATTGTACTAAAATATATTGAGAGAAAAGATGCTTAAAGTGGTTGTATAAGGCGTTGTACCGTTAGGTAACAAGACATGATTCTAATATTAATTTTTTCGATAAATTACGTTGAGTTTTTGTGCTATCATACCAGGTGTATCATTCTATTGTATATATACTATATTCAATATATTATTTGTGATATTGTCATAAGGGAACAAAATGTTAAAACAGGAAATTAAATTATTGAAAAATTTAAAACGAAAAATTGTAAACCCATTTTAAATTCAAATAATTTTTAATTAAGTTTTTTATTAGGTCTGCAGACCTTGTTTTTAAGAAGCTACATAACTTTTCGACCTTCTGAATTTTACAACTTATGTTCTTCTGAATTACTGCTGAATATTGGGGAAAAAAAACAAAAGTGTAATACAATAAATGTGATATAGAAAAAAAATTAAAAAAATACCCACAAATATTTGTTTTTTTTTTTCTCAGCAAATTATGATAATCGGAATAGTGTAATGCACAAAAAAACCAAAACACTTTCGAAATTCTTTCAATATTTTTACTATTTCTGTTAACAAAAGCAACACAACAAAAAAACTAATAGTTTAAATTCCGAATTTTTGCAAATTTATTAGATAATATTTTTTTCTCTAATTTAAAATTCAATAATATTTATAAAAATCATACATTTTATTAATCAAATCCGGCTGTTAAAAATTTAGTGTTGGAATAAATTTGAAATTTTATGCAGGTGAAAAATATAAAATTTGTATTGAAAATTCCTTATATTTGTGCTTGTATATGTACAATTAGCCTAAAATATAAATAATAATCTAAGATTGTATTGCATAGCATATAAGGTACTACCGCACTCAATTTGTTATAAAGATGAAATTATATTATTGGTATGGACTGAATGAAAATCAATAGATTTCTCTTCAATGTATATAGAAATGACCAAAATTATATAGGCAAATTTTATTATATATATATTTAATATTAATTATATTTTAACACCATACGCTACTTAAATATTTTGCTAATTTATATTTTATATTGTAGAAATCATAAATGTATTTTTTGGGGGATTTTTTATATACGTAGTTTTCTTTTTTTACAAATTTTAATGGTCATCATTTACAAATGAAGTAGTAAATTCGATATATGTAATACATATATGTATATAAAAAGAATATATTGTTCAATTTGTTAAATTTCATTCCTATTTTTGTTTTTTCAACGTTAAAAACAATTTTTCTTGCATAATATCTTAAATTATTGATTATAGATATGAATATGTATTTATATTTGTTTGAATGTTTCTTAATTTATAAAGAACTAGTATCACACAGTAAACCACCTATATAAAAATTACATGAAGATTTGCAATTTAGAGAAAAAATCCCTCATTATATTTTTTTTTAATATTGGAACTTGAGACAATTTTAAAGAATTTATTGTAGACATGAATCATTTTTATAGGATGTTTTTACTTTAATATTCATTAAAAAAATCCGATAGAAATGATTCATGTCTACAATAAATTTAAAAATAATTCGGC